GAAACAGGCTCCAGGCTCTGAGCCATCAGCCCAGAGCCTGACGCGGGGCTTGAACTCCCGGACCGCGAGATCGTGACCTGGCTGAAGTCGGACGCTTAACCGACTGCGCCACCCAGGCGCCCCAGAAATCTTAAATTTGTAAATAACACAGTATCTGTGACACGCTAAAGCCAAGTCCCATAAAACAAGGTATGCCCATATTTTACATTTCTTTTGGTTGCGGAATGGTGTTTCTTTGAGCGCAACACAAGACCGGGCCATGAGGGGCTCTTGATTTATGCAGGTCATACTAGTATAACGTTTATAGCAGGTGCTCTTAATGCTGGACTCGAGGGAGGACCTTGGGTTGCTTATAAATCCTCATAATTGTATGCAATTTTTGTGGTCATGTGTACGTGTATATTTTGAAATGATGGGAACCTCCATGCTCATAGCGTTCATCAGGTTCTTAAAGAACTCATGCTTCTTCTAAAAAAATATGAATGGACTGCCACTGGGGAGAGAGAAGGCATAATCTCAGGGCAAAGGGCCACGTAAAGAAATGTAACTACAGAAGATACCTTATTACTAATCGTGCCGCAAAAGCTTAAGAGGCTAGTACGCATCTGTGTATTTTGTCAAAGATACCGATGTACTCATTCATTCACCACCTCCCTCTCCTCTTTCCCCTCCCCTTAAATTCCTCTTCTGATTGATTTCCTTGGTATTTGAAAACGCATTCAGTGTTTTGTTTTGTTTTGCTTTGCTTTGTTTTTTTTTTTGAAAAACATAATTCATGGGTGCGCTAAATAAAGTGGGGGAAAGGGCCACTGGTATTTTGGGGGACTAAAGAATGTGGGGAGGGGCGCCTGGGTGGCGCAGTCGGTTAAGCGTCCAACTTCAGCCAGGTCACGATCTCGCGGTCCGTGAGTTCGAGCCCCGTGTCGGGCTCTGGGCTGATGGCTCAGAGCCTGGAGCCTGTTTCCGATTCTGTGTCTCCCTCTCTCTCTGCCCCTCCCCCGTTCATGCTCTGTCTCTCTCTGTCCCAAAGATAAATAAACGTTGAAAAAAAAAAAAGAATGTGGGGAAAAGCAGAGTTACTCACAAGCAAATCAGACAATTCCTCTAGTTTGAGAAAGGCTTCATGATGAGCCCCAGAACAAGGGAAAGCACAGCAAATAGGAGTGAGTTTCGGGGTCCTCAAACTGATCACCACGTCCCATCCAGGTATGCCGGAAGGCATTTTTAGTTATTACTCTCCTCCTGAAAGGGCTAATGTATCACACCAGTCACAGAAATCTTAACACAATGCATCCCAGCTTAGACATCAAGTTATACTAACTGGATAAACAGTTCAATCATGGACAGCAAAGAGCACCAACGGGAAGACTAAGAACCAGGAAAACCTGCCATTGCTTCGCTAAGTTTGCTCAAACCACCTATTCAAGCGTGTTATTCAAACCCACGTGGGAGGCACCGAATGGCTCCCAAGTCTTTCACACACGCCTTCCTCCTTCATCCGCCTCTTTTCTCCCGGCAGGGCAGCGCCCACAAGAATGCACCGTTTTCTTACTCAAGACCAAAAATTCAACTTCGTGTCTTAGGAGAAGGCCATCAGCAAATCCTCGTCTGCAGGGTTCTATGAGCAGAGTCCCAGGCACGCCGAGGGCATTTGTTAAGTGCTTATTGAGTAAATGAGTAGCCAAATGAATAATGAGCAGACATCTTTCACTGCCCCCTGCCACCGTGGGCAAGTCACATTAGAGGCAGCCCTGGGCATGGGAGGGCAGCCACTTCCTGGGAGTGGCTTGAGCCCTAAGGGGTGATGCTCTCCCCAGAGGTCTGATGAGGTTAGGAGGTACTGCCTCCTAAAGGAACGTACCGAGGGAAGTCTGGGGGAAAGAGGGTGTGGTAGACAGAAATCATGCTGCCTCTAGCAAAGATGGCCGCATCCTAATCCCCAGCATCTGTGAACGCTGAGGGAGCATTAAGGTTGCAGCTGGAATAAACGTCGGTAATCACTTGGACCCCGGATGGGGGGATTTTCCTGGATTATCTAGGAGAGCCCAAAGTAATCACAAGGTCGTCCAAGGAAGAATAGGGGCAAAAGCGAGGGCCACAGTGACGCACAACAAGGACTTGACCGGCTGCTGCTGGCTCTGAAGGTGCGGGAAGGGCTCCGAGCCAAGGAATGTGGGCAACTTGCAAAAACTGTAACACGCAAGAAAATGGATCCTCTCCTAGAGACCACAGAGAGAAAAACAGCCTGCCCACACTTCAAAACTGGTCTTGAACTTCTGACCTCCAGAACTTAAGGTAATAAATTTATGTCGTTTCCAGCTACTAAGCTTGTGGAGGCTCGTGGCCACAGCCCTATGGTACAGAAGGTCCGTGAAGAGCAGGGAAGGACGGAGAGGCTGGGAAGACTACTTTTGTCATGACTAGTCATGGGACCTCAGGGAGGTCATTTCATGGTTTTCTCGTTGCTATAGTGGGCCAAAACCAGCCACCTCATCAGACTACTTCCGATACTAAATGGGATCACATATCGCAGTGGCCCAGGCTCCTGGGCTGTCACACTGGGTACTCATCATTGCTCTCTCTTTCCCTCTTCTCCCCTCCCCTTCACAGCCACTGGGTACCAGGATGCAGCGCAGGGACGCAAAGGAAGAGAAAAAAGGGAAAAGCTAAAATGAATGGAGATAAAGAGCCAATCCCGAGGGGTCTAGGATGGGGAATCCACACCACTCACAGCTGCCTGGTGTAGGGGACACCCATCCTGTGGTCTCTCTAGGGTTTTGTAAAGTGAGGGTTTGAGGGGCTTTATCATTTGGCGGAAAGGGGGTAGAAAAGGAAGAGGCTAGAGTGTGAAGGATAGGAGATGTTTGGGGTGGAACAGGAGAGGAAGAGGAAGAAAAGAAACATAGGGTGGGATCCAGGCTGGAAGAAAACAGGGGTGGCATCTCCCCATTATGGGGACTACACTGCTGCTCAGAAATGAAGGGAACTTCCAAACAAGCTGGTTGTTCCTCTTTCTTTTTTGTCCCTGCCCCTACACAATCCTCCCCTTCCATTCATGCATATGGTAGACCACAGTCATGCACATACATCCATGAACTTGTTGAAGGTAGCTCAGGTGTTCCGGGACAGTGAGGGAATAACAGGTGCTTACACTGATGTCAGGTTTCAAAGGTTATGACGGACCTTTGAAAAGCACTGGAGAAATGTTCCCTTGGGAACAATAACGGAAAACGAGTTAAATCCTATTATATCTCGGGACCTGTCATTCCTATTCCTTTTTCTAAGGTGGTGTGGGAGATTATCTATCTATCTATCTATCTATCTATCTATCTATCTATCTATCTATCCAACCATCTACTTACCTACCTACTTATCTACCTATCGTCTAGTTCACAATATGGGCAAGATTTCTGCCACAAATGACAATGTTATGCTTTGTACCCTCAGGCTACTAGGAGAAGGGTAGAAAGGGGAAGAGTAGAGAATGCAAGCTTCTAAGTTTAAATGAAACAGCTCGCTCCCTTTTAGACTCTGCAGCCAATGTAGATTTCATGACACAGAGCTGTAAACGCACTGGGACAATTTCAAGAGAGAACATCCAAATTGTAATAAAAATCATTGCTACGGCTTGGATGTACTTTGTGTTCAGATATTTTTTTATTAAATTTTGTGACATTGCACAACTTTGAATAGGTCATTTTGTGGTTAGGACAAATCTATTTCTGTTAACGCATTAAATTTGAAGACATAAGGTGGCTTGAGCCCATCTTTTAAGTTTATTATTTTGCAGAAATCACAAGAAGAAACTCACAAACTACTGTTTCTTTTAAAGGAATATTTATAAATTGCCAAATGACTGTGTAATGTATCTAGCTTCAAATTATACCGACAAGATGATTTCCCTGTCTTCTTTTTCAAGTCAACCTAAAATGGAATTAAGTATCACTTAAAGACATTAGCTATTGGGATCTTTCAATGCTTTTTAGAAGGAAAGAGGAAAGTCTTCTAAAGTGACCATGACCTGTTTAAGTAAATATTTTCCCCGAAGGTTCACTGTATAATTGAACTTGAGATGACACGGGTAAACACACAGACATGCTGTCATATTTTAGGAAGTAATTTACCATTTCCTCTGATTTTGGATAGCCCTTTAAAACATACAAAATCTGCTGCAATTTCTCACAATACTGCTTTTGGGTAACCAATAGTGCGGATAAATTGGTTAATCAACAGGCTCAGAAATCTTGGGGAAGACACGTCACCTCTCCTTTTCTCCCTCTGACCTTCACTCCACTATCCCCAATGGCTTTACAACTGAGTTTACAGATCAAAAGATTCTTTTCTACAAACATTCACAAACTTCTGTTGGAATATGCAGAGGTTGTCGCAAAAGTCAACATTTACTTAGAGTAAAGAGCTTGAAGTCTGAGCCAGTAGAGTCATCAGCAGGTTGATCAAACCCTGAAAAACAGCTTGCGTAGCTGAATTCTACAGGTATTCACCTTTGTCCCCCAAAGAACCCTGCTTGCGGCAGTCAAAACCAAAGTGGGAACTTAACAAAAATGAAAATTGTGGTAGCGAAATACACTAACAAGGTTAATCTAACACATTGCAAAAAATTGGGGAGGTTCAAGTGGTTTCTATATAACCACAGTACTGATTTAGAAAAACCCCAGAGAAACAGCTGCATTTTGATATACAACCTGCCTTGCTTGAATAGGAAACCCCGTATTTTCAGGGTGTGTAAGTCTTGAGATGCTAGTCTTTGAACATAAGCCCGGGGGAAATTGCGTGCATCGCTTATTGGGAAATAACAGGCTAAAAAGACCCGGAGAAGTTCACAGCCATGTACGAGGCAAACAAATATGTGCCCCCGAGATCAGATCGTCCATTTCTTTTACTACAGAGTGGCAAAGATGAGAAAAAAAAATCATCAGTTCTGCTGACCCAGTCGGTTTGCTTAAGAAAACTGTGCCCATACCCCTGGATTCTCTGATTACCTGGGAATATCTCCATTTCTGGCATTTGGTGACAACTGGTTGAGGCAGACCTGGCAAAATGCTTTCCAGCTGCTGGTAGATTAGCTCCCGCACGTCCTCAGTGCTGTGCTCCAGGTATGTGACTGCAAATGGGACAGTGGTGTGAACCACCAGGGAAGGTCCCACTTCTGATGACTCTGGTATGAGAGGGACACAAAGACGCACCTTAAAGCGGGTAACACAGAAGCATCTGTCAGCGTTTCAAACCGGGTTTAAGAGTAAATCGTTGTAATCAGATAATACAACAGAAGAAAAACAGAGTCTAATCTCTGACCACAAAACTGGGCTACCTCTGAAATTCAAAGTCAAGCTTCTCCGAAGAGAACAGAGTTACGATGTTATTTCATGTCATGTCACGTCATTTCATTTCATTTTTCATTTCATTTCATCTTATTTTATTTTAAGTGTATTTACTTTTGAGAGAGAGAGAGAGAGTGTGTGTGTGTGTGTGTGTGTGTGTGTGTGTGTACGCACAACTTGGGGGGAAGAGCAGAGAGAAAGGGTGAGAGAGAATCCCAATCAGGCTCTGCACTGTCCACACAGAGCCTGACACGGGGCTTGATCTCACAAACCACGAGATCATGATCTGAACTGAAATCAAGAGTCGGAAGCTTAGCTGCTGAACCCCCAGGCACCCCCCAGCATATTTTAAAGAACAAATTTTAGGTCTTGCTAAAAAACTGGAAGGAAGGAGAAGAAGAACACCTAATAAGTTCTGCCTTGGGTATAATCAAATTTATCAGTGTGCTCATCTTCTCTCATCCACTAAATTATACGTTCTCTAGGCAGAAGCTGTTTCTTTTTTTAAATTTTTTTTAACGTTTATTTATTATTTTTTTGAGACAGAGAGAGACAGAGCATGAAGGGGGAAGGGGCAGAGAGAGGGAGACACAGAATCAGAAGCAGGCTCCAGGCTCTGAGCCATCAGCCCAGAGCCCGACGCGGGGCTCGAACTCACGGACTGCGAGATCATGACCTGAGCTGAAGTCAGACGCTCAACTGACTGAGACACCCAGGTGCCCCCAGAAGCTGTTTCTTATCACGTATAGCTTATATTCTCCTTAAATTCTGAGAACAAAGTAGATGTGCAGTAAATATGTATTCATTTTATGTTAAATGGATTGCAAAATATTTTGTTGAAATTATATTAGAATAAAATATCTTAGGGATGCTTGAGTGGCTCGGTGGGTTGAGCATCTGACTTCAGCTCAGGTCATGATCTCACGGTTCGTGGGTTCAAGCCCTGAGTCGGGCTCTGTGCTGACAGCTCGGAGCCTGGAGCCTGTTTTGGATTCTCTGTCTTCCTCTCTCTCTGCCCCTCCCTGGCTCGTGCTCTGTCTCTCTCGCTGTCTCAAAAACAAATACACATTAAAAAAAAATAAAATAAAGTAAAATATCTTTACCACATAAAAAAATCAAGCTTCTCTCTAAAAATGGGCTTGACCTCATAGCATTAAGAGAAAAAGCTCCCTCATTCATGACACGGAGATACTTCCCAATTTTGGTTGCCGTCAAATTTTTTTTTTGCTATATTTTCGTAATTTCAAATAATGTACATCCACTTTGTACCTTTCACTCTTTCCTAGAATATAGAAAATCAAATGAAGTTTTAAGCTGAAAGCAGAGTGACCAAGGCATTAAAAAGTACAGTCTTGGGGCGCCTGGGTGGCGCAGTCGGTTAAGCGTCCGACTTCAGCCAGGTCACGATCTCGCGGTC